CGTGTTTTCATGATATTTCACAGTATTTCCGCGATAGAAATACGGTTAGTCGCCAGCATCACCCGGATTTTTGGGCAGGTTTACTCCTGCTGGGAATAGAACCCTACGCTCCGAATTGAGCGACAAACCATCATGTCTCAAACTTAAATAATTTAGCAGCACATGTGAATCCCATCGCTCAAGTTATTATAGCGGTTATTTTCGATTGATGCAATTTTGCTTTCATCGCAGCCTTTTCTGTTTTTTATTGTCGAAATCACCGCTCTTCAACGCCTTTTGTATCAATATTCGTTGTTAGAAGAAATTCGATAATGGCAGACCATCGAGTTATTCTTATACTGTAATTTTACTTTTAATCATAATTTTGAAATTATAAATCTTATTTCCTAATTAATACATTTTTTTGAATATTTTGTTACTTTTATTTACTTTTATTTACTATTATTTACTTTTTATCCCTTTTTTTCATCTGATTAGTTTATGTAGTCGATTGGTTTTTATTTTTTTCCATAGATTTTGCTTTTACTATCTATTCATTCGTTTTTCAAACTTTACATTTTTGCAACAATTGTTCGCTCATTTTGTCCTGTAATGTGGTAGATACTATTTGGCTAAAAAGATGCATGGTAGATTTATTTATTCAGAAAACAGCCAAGTGGGGCCAAGAAATCCAGCTTAATTATCCACCATTCTATGCATAAATTCTGCACAGATGATAATCATTTTATTTTCATATATGTCTTAATATTCGCCATCTTCACAAATGAAGCTGATACGCTCAATTTTCTGGATAAAATTTACTTAAATGTATGCTTGAAATTAGTAACACTAAATAATACTAAATAAAAACAAAAAAAATTATAAATGAAATACTTTTTTAAATGCAGTTTTATTTATTTATATTTATATAAATAAAATAATATTTTTAAAATATCTGAAGGCAAAAAGTGTAGGTGAATGGATGTTGGATGATTTCCATGTTGTGGAGCAAAATTTCGACAGGAGTATGCCTGTGGTTAAAAAATCCGGTTGTTATTAATGATCCGTTTGTATTTCCACCGACAAGTGGTATTTTGGCAAAAATTTTTAGCCTTATTAACAGCCAGTTGAGTTAATCTGAAATGGTGAACGGTAACCATAAACTTTTTCAACCAAGAAATTACCTTTTGTTTAGCATCACCTTTAGAAATGCTAAGAGGAATATTCATTTGCCTGATTAGGATTTTTTAAAAATTAACCAATATTCCTTCCGTACGATGTTTACAATTCTATTTTTTTAATCGAATCTAATGAATCAAAATATTTCTTTTCTTGTTTTTAAGTGAAATATTTATGTGCATTGAACTATTTTAGGAACTGGTTTTTTAATTGTAAACCAGAGATCATCTAATTTTCTATCTTGATTTTTGACCAGAATTCATCAATTTTTCTTGCATATGCATATTCTTGCATATTGATTGACTCAAAGGGAAAGTAATAGCCACTCTGCTATCTTACCATCTTCTTTCACTAAGGTGCAATGTTCTTTATCTTTTAATTACTGGCTTTGATAATAATTATTCGATGGTCGTGTGGTATCGCTTCGATTAAGAAAAAATAATGATCAAATTATCATAAGCTCGATCTGCATTCTCTTGATGAAATCTGGGCTGAGACCCAGCTGTACCTCCATCTAGAAATGACTGGCTCGTAATATTAGAAAATGAAATAATCATCATAATCCAGAAATCTCCTACAAAGATGAACCATTTTTCATTAATTCATCATTAATAATTAAAGAAGAAATTATTTTTTTTTCTTCTTTAATTTCCTCGAATTTTTTTTCTTTTTCAGTCAGAACCAGAAAACTACAAATTATTCCAAAAAGACAGTTGTTAAAAAACTTGTAATCTCCACATCCATGTTTATCCGCTTGTAAAGAAGTCATTTGTTACAAAACTGATCGACTCAAACATATTAATGTGGCAATTATTACATTTCGAGGGACTTTTCTATAAAATTCCTATCAAAGCATTCTGTATTGTTGTCACAATAACAAATCTTGTAATAAGATATTGTCTCCCATAATTCTTGCTCCTCTTGCTATTTTTCAACTTCTTTATACTTATTTATTTATTGATAACCAGCCAAGCAGGGCGACAACGCCATGTGCTTGTATTAATAATAACAGTTAAGATAACAGAAAAAGAAAACACAAAAAAATAACATAGACAAAATTAATTATAAAATAATTATAAAAAATATGACAAAAATTAACAATTTAAAGAGGAAATTACAGATCAATATAATATAGTACAATTCGAAGTAACATATATAACCTGAAAATAAAATCGAGATTTCTCACTTCCTACAGTTCTTGCCTGGTGTAAACTCTTCTCTTTTTTTTTTTTTTAAATAAAATCGTAAATGATATTATCTAGTCTTTTTTTAAAGACAGCTAAGGATGACGCACAAGCTACATCGTTCGGCAGTTTGTTCCAGTAGTTAATAGTACGAATAAAGGAGTCATGAGTCCTTAGTTTAGTTTTGCATATAGGTTTTAGTAATTTTAAGCCATTAGTTCTTGTTGGATTCAAATTTAATCTAAAGTTATAATATTTCGAGCAATTTAGTTTAACATAACCATACGCAATCATATATGTGTAAATTAAATATTGTTTAATTCTACGAACTGAGAGAGAATCCATGTTATATTGTAGAAGTGTTATAATTAAAATTATAATTTTTATTAGGAGAGAGACGCCGTAGAAAATATTTTTGGAGTCCTTCAATTATTGTACCTGTTTTGTGATGTCTAGGGGAATATACCTTTCTGGACTTCTTTTTGCCAGCTCATTTTTGATCTTAATTTCTGATTTATTTCTGATAAGTGCTAAGGAGATTATTCATTTGCCTGATCTAGGGTTTTTTAAAATTAACTGATATTTCTTCCGCACGATGTTTTATCTCTAATAAAGCAAAAAATTTATTTAATATGGACGATTATATCAATCCTTTTAGAATATCTCGTGCAGTCTTCAGCATTTTTTTCAAGAGTCCTCACCATTACTGGTTAAACTCGTTTCACTGGCTTTTCGCATTGGGCAATATGCCATGAGCCCCTTGGCGACAGAAATACAGATGAATCGCCAACATCACCTGGATTTTTCTACAGGTCTACTTCTACGGGGAATCCAACTTTAGCATTGCCGCGCTCCAAACTGAACAACCACTGAGCCATCCCATCCCTGACCTTCAGCATTTAGCTTTCATTAAATGTTTCCAACATTAAAACGCGCAGTGAACGTTATTCTTTATTATTATCTACTTTGATAATTTCAGGCGATGGTGTTACTTTATATTTTTAGCGGATTAATTTAACTTCATTTCTTTTCCTCTTTGAATTAAATGAAAAATCTCAAAATAATAAAATGTTGATTAATTTTTTGTTCTTAACAATTTTGGTTTGTCCTTCTGTTGCAAAGACTAATAAAACGTGTGAAGAAAAGAAAATATGCCAACCTGGATTATTCTTGCCTCTTTGGTATCCTCAGGTATTAATTACATTTTGAATCCATTATTATTTGGTTTTTATATCTCTCCATTGCCTTTTAAAGCATTTTGAATTTTTCAAATCAGTAGTCGTCAAAATGGGCTGAGGATCCTCGAGACTCTTTTAGGAGTTTCTCAAAACCAAAATCATTTTCTTGATATTATAATGGCGTAATCAATAGTAATAAAATAGTAATACATTGCAAGACTTTTTAATTTTAAAAACACGAAAGCGCTCCTTAATTTAAGAATTTGAAGGTGTTTTTGAAGGTGCGGTAAAATCTTTGAGAATCACTAAATTAATTACTCCAAAGTTTACAGTACGCTTGTTAAAATCTTCCTGAACCTGGGAATTTTATTATTCAGCCATAATCAAGATAATTTTTTATAAAAAAACAAAACAAGAGACATAAGTAAAGAAATAAATGAAAATTCATATTTGCAAAATATGCAAAATATTGCCTCGATTTGAAGGATTTAGCGCATGGAAATGTTTAGGAGAATCTTCCTATAACAACGATAGCTATGCGTGCCATCGTTTATTTTTTTGCGCTCTGTTATATGTTTCTGGGTGTTTCGATTGTTGCGGAACGTTTTATGGCCTCTATTGAGGTAATAACATCTCAGAATAAAGAAGTGAAATTAAGACGAATCACTGGTGAACCGTATACCATTCTAATACGTGTTTGGAACGAAACAGTCAGCAATTTAAGTCTTATGGCTTTAGGTAAAATTCATTTCTTGTTTTAATGGTGTTGTAATCGAACTGCTTTTTGTCATATGGCTGTTATTTAATTTTCTTGAAATCTGTCATATTTTGTCAATATCCAAAAAAGTATTGATGATAAACTATTTATTAGTAATGAAAGATCAATTAGATTTTTAATCTTCCGTTTTCGGTAAATAATTATTGATTTCGAAGCCTAAGATTTGGTTATATTTAGAAAACGAGAAGTTAAGTAGATACTTTATTCGAAATTGTGCAACCACTATTCTTCAAATAGGTAAATCTGCCGCAAGGATTTAGAATAAAATATTTATTTAAGCGAAAATTTTCACTTTTGTGTAGAGTTCAAGCTTGAACTGATGTGTACTTGAATCATGTTTAAGTAGAAAATTGAATGCTATATTTGCACAAAAAATGGTGCATATTTGTTTGCTTATATGCATCTTAAAATTAAATTTGGTTCATTTTGTGAATTTTTCTTTAACATTGTTTTTCCAGGTTCAAGCGCTCCAGAAATATTACTTTCAGTAATCGAAATAATCGGAAATAATTTTCAAGCTGGTATCATCTCTTTATTTTTTAATAAAATATCCTTTTATGGAAAAAATCAATTAGATTTTAAATTTTAATGATAAAACAATTTAGGATGTTCATAAAATAATAGCTTAGTTCCATTTAGTGAATTCAGTGGAGTTGCACTGACTGAGTTTAAGAAGCAGTTTAACTATTATTACTGCAAATAATCTTTTATTTTTCTACCATTCAGTGGTTACGTTCTATTTTCGTTAATCTTTGGGGTCATTTTTTCCTAAGAATAATCAAATTAAAGTTTTAGTTTATAATTTAATTTTAAATGAATAAAAATCTTTAATGCTTTTTGAATTCCATTACACAAAGGCTAAAAAGATCTTTGGGACTGATGCCTTTTTCTAAAAACGATTATTATAAAATCAGATGTAGAGTTTCAAGAAAAGATTTTCAGGTGATCTGGGCCCAAGCACTATTATTGGTTCGGCCGCTTTTAATTTATTTGTTATTGTGGCGATTTGCATTTACGTAAGTCTTAAAGTTATGGTCAAATTAGGATATCGTACATAACTATAATTCAACTGAATTTGATAAAACCATTCTGTTATCTCTGTTCTAATTATCTGCTCTGTTGAACAAATTAGAGTTTCTTATATTCGCTTCTTTTTTATTGATTTTTGATAAATGTTGCAGTAATAAAAAAATCTTGAAGGATTGCCATTTTTAAGGTTAATTATGCTAAACTATATTTTTGCTATCAATAAAATTGGGCAACATAAACATAAACCAACATTTTCAGTCAATTCCTAATGCAGAAAAACGAAGAATAAAAAATAATAGCGTATTTTTGGTGACTGTACTGTGGTCCACATTCGCCTATATTTGGCTTTATCTCATAATTTCAGTGTTCTCACCTGGAGTTATACAGGTATCCTTGATGTATGATTGTTTTTCACTTCCCATAATTATAGGTTCCGCTATTGTGACTTCATCGTATATATCGTAAATGAAGGAGGAATAGGGAGGAATACTATATTTTCGCATTATAGAAGATGCGTGAATGCAGTGCTTTTATTTTTTTAGGTCTGGGAAGGTGTTTTAACATTTCTCTATTTCCCGTTAACAGTGCTTTCGGCATACATTGCAGACAAATACACAGGTGCATTTGGTAAACGATTTGTTAATATTACAAGATTTCGGCAAATTCGACGACCCGTTGAACTAAATATGAAAAGTCGAACTGGTGATGGCCTCAGAAGAGGAAAACAACGGTAATACTTGAAGCATTTTGATTTTTTAATTTGAATTTAACTTTTTTTTTTCTCTTTTGCGTTGATATGATTGAGCTCTTCATAATATCTGGAAAACTAATCAATTTTGATTTATAGCGATTTATTAACGTCGTCACATCTTCCAGAAGAAGTCGTTGCCTTTGAACAGCAGCGTCAAAAATACCTGCAGTTATTTAGGCAAATGAGAAATGAGAATCCAGACTTGCAACCTGTTCAATTGGAAAAACTCATTCTTGAGCGAGTTATTGCGGAAAAGCCAAAGAGTCGAGCTTTTTACAGAGTACAAGTAAGTTTTTGCTTGTACTATAATCAGTAGAGCAAAAAGAGATATAATCAGAAGAATTAGATTTACTTAATTAAAATGCATCGATTAATGACCACTGATTGATTACCGCTGAGAATCGAAAGCTGCTTTGATTCATATCCAGCCGACGCACCACTCTTCGTCGAGCAATATTGCCGAGCGGCAAAATTAAAAGGACGTAGAATGGCTTATGGATTGTTACTCATATTTCGGAGTGCCGATGCCGAGGTTTCTAGCAGGCAGGAGCAAACCTTCAAGAATCCAGTTTATGCTGGCGGCTCATTTGTACTGCTATCGCCAAGGGACTCCCTGGCAAAATTTGCCTGGTTGGACAAGCCAGTGGAGTGAGTTTAATAAGAAATAGTAAGGCTATTCATATCAAAAGCATTCAATTTCAATTTTACTGTAAAACAATTATCTCAGTGATGATGACCTCCCGATTCAAAATTTTTAAGATTAATGTATTATTAGTGCGAAAAAGTCTAATAATACAATTAAACCTTTGCAAATTTGCAATCAACCAACGTAGATATTTGCATGCTAATGGTTTTGACCTTGGAGTTTGAGAAGAAAAGAATAAATTGTAAATTATGGATATGCCAGGCAACAAGAAATCTTACTGGTACACCTCTAAAAATGCCTTTTGACAATATCAAGAAAAATCCATTGGAGAATGAGAAGATGCCAAAACAAGTGGTTGTTAGGTTGGTCAAATTCCGTTTTTTTTCAGCATTAATGCTTGTGAGCTAAAGAAATCATTGAAAGAAAAGATTACTTCAGTGATGAATGACGTTTTGATTCAAATGTTCAACGCATAATTTATCTTGGGTCAGCATTTACTACCAACATTCGACAAATCTACAGAAAAACACGCTTATTTTTGATTTGCAGCTTTAAACCAAATAATTACGTTTGCATGGAAAATGTTGGCACAATATCAGTGAATGTGGTTTGCGATCGTGGTGGTTTTGATCAACCGATTGTCGTAACAGCAAACTACAAAACGATAGCCGGCACAGCGAAAGAACACGAAGATTTTGTACCAGTAAGTGGTGTCCTACGACTCGATCCGGATCAAACCGAGTTGTTCTTGTCTTTTTATTCAAAGAAATGCTAAACAGGCTCTATGAAAAAAAGGATGTCGAGAAAATTAGCCGAACTTTAACCAGTATTATTATTTTGTAGACAGCAGATTCATATTCAAATTGTGGATAACGAAATTTACGAAGATGACGAATATTTTTCAGTTTTTTTGTCAGGAATACGAGCTTATAGAGCTGGTAATGAAATCCCTTTTCTCTATTTATGTTAAGAAATAAGTTTCCTTAAATTTCATTAATCCTACTAAAAAGTTGTTGAAATTTGGAATAATTTGAAGATGACCCTACTTCAAAGATACCGGCTCGACTTGGTGGAGTAGCTCTTGCTACTGTATTAATCGTCGATGATGATCATGCCGGCGTATTCGGTTTCAGTTCAGAAAAATTCAAAATTTCTGAAAATAGTGGGGTTTTTACTGCTCAGGTTCATACATTTAAATATATAATATTTTTGTTCTAAAAATTAAAATCAAGAATTAGTTTAAATATAGCATTGGATATAGTGATTATTAAGATACTGCGAACTCGCGGAGCCAGAGGAGAAGTCTCAATTCCTTACAAAACAACTGATGGATTGGCCAAAGCTGGCAGAGATTATGTTGCAGTTGATGAAGTATTGAAATTTCAAGATGGACAAACAAAGTAAAATTTTGCAGTTAAAACTTTCATTTTAATCTTGCATTTTCAAGTTTAAAAATAAGGATTTAAATTTATCTCAGAGAATGCTGAGAAAAATACAAAATTGGTACCACCAATTGTTTTTGTGAATAGTGCCACTCATAGATATAATCGTAAAAATCGCTATTAAAAATCTTTTAATAATCTGACATTGAGCCGTATTTATTTAAAGATTCTTAAAGATTTAAAGTTTCTTTTATCAAAATTAATTTGAATAGAGCTGAAATAGAAATCCAAATAGTAAACGATGATGAATATGAAAAAAATGAGGATTTTTATTTGGAACTTGGTGAGCCAATTTGGCACCGAGAAGGATTAACGTGTTTTGAAACTGAAAAAGGAAAGCCCGTTCTATCTAGACATCATCGTTGTAAAGTTGTGATCACTGAGGACCGTGAGTTCAAGGTACTCCTTTTCAATTTTTGCACCAAAAAGCTTAAATTTGCAAACCTTTTTTCTTAAAAAAAGATTTTCTTTTTCTTATACCTAATTAGATTTTCCTTAATCTTTAATTGATTTGTTGCAGAGTTTTATAGATAAAATGATTGCTAATGCAAGTAATTCATTTATGATTGGTACAGATAGTTGGAAACAGCAATTTTCTGATGCATTGCAAGTCGAAATCGGTGATTCTTCTATTCATCTGAATAAAACTTGTTGAAAATAGATCTAAATAGAACTTAGCCGAATGATTAATAATTCCTATTATTGAGAATGAGTAGCTCGACTCTCGGATAGAAGTAAACCTGTCGTTAAAAAATCTGAGTGGTGCTAGTGGAACATCTGTGTTATTTTTGCCAAATGACTCTCTAGTAGCAATTTTTACTAGCACCCACTGAAACGAGTCTAACCAGATATGGCAAGCTAATCACCAGTTTATATTGCTTATTCCAAACTTAAATTTTTGAATTATGCTGGATCCATAATTTTTTTTCACCAAGTTGATTAATTTTTCTCTCAATTCCCAAATTAGTTTTTTTGGTGAACAGTTTGAAATTTTTAGATAATGGTCGGGTCTTGTCAGTTTTATCGATTCCTTGGCGATTTGTATTCGCAGTTATTCCTCCTACAGATTATGCAAATGGTTGGCTATGTTTTGCTATTGCTATCATAATGATTGGGTTTTTAACTGCGATTATTGGTGATTTGGCTTCACATTTTGGTTGCATAGTGAATTTGAAAGATTCAGTGACCGCAATTTCATTGGTGGCTATGGGTACGAGTATACCAGGTATGGATTTCTTATAGTCATATTCATATTGCTGCTAGAAATTAATATTTAATTCATCATATTAAGATATGTTTGCGTCTCGAACTGCAGCTATTCATGATAAATGGGCTGATTCCTCAATCGTTAACGTAACCGGTTCAAATGCAGTTAATGTTTTCCTCGGAATCGGCTTTGGTATATCGTTTGATTATTTAGTAATATTATTTAATTTGTCTTTACAATTTTAGATGGCAAAAATGGAATTTCATACACTTGCGTTTAGCCTCAAAATTCCTATTGGCCACGATATTAACAAAATGTATGCATAAATCTGTATTTGACCTCGTCCACTTCTTTCCCCTATATTATCGATTTTGTAGCTGGACGTCGTGCTCAAAATTATGCTTAACCTTCACTGTTTTGAAGTGAAATTGCTTTATCGAGGATTGCAGAAATCCGAAAATGCAAAGAAAATCAAAGACCAAATAAAAATGTCTAACGGAAATGTACTGTAGAAGTGCTTCTTTCCTTTTGATTCTTTCTATGTTTAACCCCCGATTTTCTAAGTTTCCTAAACCTCCCCGAACCACTTTAGCTCCTAATATGACCTTTCCTGACCTAGGAATATGACCTGAAAACTGCTTTGAAAATATTACTTTCAAAAAAATATTTTTATTTTTAAAATATTTTCTTTGTCCATTGAAATGGCGCAACAATAACGAATAACGCTGTTATAATAAGTAATGATCTTGTTGATGAAATCAGTATTATCAATGCTGAATCATTATAACAAATCGATTCAAAATCGAAACAAATGAATAACTTTGGAAGAATGGCTGTAATTTTGATCGATGATCTGCAGCAATTATCTAATTCTAGTTCGAGTTGCTCCAATCTGCAGGCAGCCAAAGCAGGTGGCGCGATCTGAAATTTTATGAACTGAATGAAGTATCTAATCAAATGTTTTTAACGTTGCCAATCAAGAATTAGATCTAATCAAATCGCTATTTTTTTTCAAAGAAGAGGCAAACTAATTCCGCATTGAATGTATCTATTCTTTACAAACAACTCTGTTGCCGAGTATAACCAGGCAGTTTTGGATTGTTTGGATAACAAAAGTACTGCAAAAGAAGTGTAGTTACTAAAATGCAGAACAAGCAGAATAAAATATAAAATATCATTCATTGTTAGTGGTAGCTTACAGCGTAAAGTAACATCCACAATGAATAACTCATAGATTATGGTAACCAATATCGACATCTCAGATTGATTGACAAACAGTGCTGTAGGAAAACTTATTCACATTGCATATGGCGAATCTAGAGAAGTAATCCATGTGGCTAGATTTTGACTCACGGTGAAGAAGAAAAGTTGTATAAAAGAAATATAAAAGAACATTAATCGTTTGGTGTACCAATAGGACGAAGAGTATCTACTCCTCTGAACAACAAAATTATTATAATAAAAGAAAATCATTTCTTTCTACTCATTAGCTTCTACTTGAGCGATGCCATAAGGAGGCACGTCCGACAAGGAATATAAATATAAATATTTACGAGTGCCACAAAGCACAATCGCAGCAATTATACATAGCATTGTAAGCTGCAATTGTGCAAGAATTCTACATTGTGATAATTCAATGTTTTATCATAGCAGCAAGATGAATTCCGCAGACTATTTGCTCTAAATCGTTTGGTGACAATAGGTAGCACTGATAGATTTCATAGATAGCAAAAGAGAATTGTAAGAGAAACTGTCAGTATTCTTTTTAAACTTTTAAGTTTTCGCTTACTCTGCGGATTTCATGTATATAGTGGTCAAATATCTTGTTTTTCTCTAAGACTTGGTTGAATAACGAGACAGATATGGATGGATATACCTAAGTTTGATCGTGTCATCGATTTTAAATATTCCTTTGTTCTAGGTGGAGGAGGAGCAGTCTCTTGCAATTTTAATGACAAAGCAAATTAAAGCAAATTTCTCACTCCCTATATGAATATAAATTTACAACAAAAAAATTCATTTTCGTTCATTTCATAAATCCATCAGCCATAGGTGAAATATGTGCTGAGTACGATAAGATAAGGAATACCTTGATGGAATAGATTTCGTCAGGTTCCTTGGCGGACTGTTGACTTTTTATTTTAGTCACCATCAACAAATTTTTTGAAAATGGAATTAATTATCAGAAGGAAATTATTGTATAATTATACTAACACGTGCATCTATATGATCTATATGCGTATATCGTCGTTTTAACCTCCATTAGTGTTTTTATTACAGTTAGAATAAGTTTCTGCTAATTTTAAATTTTATGGAAACCATCTCATTTTAACCGCAGAATTGCGAGAAGTTTCACTTAGGTATAATCTGTGCATATTTTTTTTCTTTTTCGGTCCAATGATATTCATAGTTAAGTTAACTGTGATTTCCACTGTAATTTAATTGCTAATTAAAACCTATATATAGAATTGTTTTTCACACTTTTGGAAATTTCCTATGTTTCTATAGCATAAATCCTTGATTTCCATTGAACCAATTAATTTTAATCAACCCAAATATAAATAAACATTCCATGGCTGTGGAGAGAAATATTCAGCAGAGAAATCAATCGTGTTAATTAATTAATTCTCATACTAATCACTATATCTGTATGCAACATAATCCGTCTTAGTAAGGTTCATAAATCACCATTCCTAACACCATTGCCGTAGATAGCTGAATGGTTGTTGCTCAAATTATTGTGTCGAGAGCCAGGGGTTACAAACTTGCCTGTACTTGCGAGTAAATATGTCATTAAAAATTCCAAGCTGGCGACTTACTTGTATTTCTATCAACAAGTTACTCCCTAGCGAATATTCCTCGCCACACTAGCAGCCAATGGAGCTTGCATAAGCAGGAATGGTGAGCGCTAACTGCTTTTTTACTTATTCTTTTAAAGAAAACTGAAAAATTATTTATTTTAGCTTGGGCAATTGCAACTGTATACCACGCTATGCAAGGGAGTAATTTCCAAATTGAAGCTGGAAATTTAGCCTTCTCAGTGACTTTATTTGTACTTGGATCAACGATTTGCTTAGGCCTTTTACAATATCGCCGATTTTCATCAATTAATGCTGAATTAGGAGGACCATTTGGAACCAAAAGTATTTCAGCATTAATATTCTTCTTTATTTGGATATCATATATAGTACTAAGTGCCTTAGAAGCATATTGTATCATTCCGAATTTCTAAAAAGAGCCATAACTAGTTTTATCAGATTTACTTATAATGTGTTTTATTGTTTTACTAATGTTTGATAGAAATCTATCTATAACTATAAACCAAAAACAGTTTGATAGAATACTAAATATTTCATTCATTTCTGTGGAAATATAGTATCATTCACTCGTTTTCTTAAGCTCATTTGACTGATTTAAGAGTCTTGCATTTCAAAATTTATCTTTACTCCTATGGTATTCCAAATGAAGAATCGTCAATGCTAATAACTAATGCATTTTTTATTCACCAGATATTTGGCGTCATAATTTCTGCTTTAGTTTCCGTGTGCTGAAAACTTATGTATCAGTTATCAGTGTATCAACAAATCTTTTTTTTGAAGCGTAAATTAAGCGCTCTAATATTGAAAAATAGATCTTTGAAAAAATTATGCAACATCGCTTGAATTACAATTATTTTTTTAATTTTTAAAATTTTAAATTAAATTAGACAGTAAAATATTAATAAACACCACACATTATATAACATGATGAAAATCCATAATATTCTGGGATCAGAGTCACAGAATTCATTTTTAAGCCAATAAATTGCATAAAAAATTTTATTTCGGAGAAGAAGCAAACAAAAGCCAGTTCTGTGCCGTATTAATTGTCTCCGTACAACAAGAAACAGTAAAAAAAAAGTATGCCTCTTTATATTATGATGTTTTATCATTTGTCATGGAGAACAGCTAATATTTATTTGAGATGTATTTGATATTTCATTAATCACTGTTTGGAAAATATCATACCTTTAATTTTGTTCTTATTGTTATTCCAGTGTTTTTCAGCTGAGGTTCATTTAAAGATAGTTGCTGGCCTTGATCCACGCTTCAATCCGATCTTCTTTTTACCGAGTATGATTGTTTTGAAAGCTCGACGAAATTCGCTGTTAAAAATCGTATAAATAATAGGATTGAGGCACGAATTAATATATCCGACCCAAGTCGAATAAAAGAAAGGACCAAAACCGATTTGACAAAAATCTCGTTCGATTTTTATGCAGATTCCATTAAGAATATTCATTGAAAAAAAAGGTACCCAGCAAATCAGAAAAATGCCTAAAAATAAGGTTTTAAGAAAAATATATAACTAAAAATATATAAAATAGTAAAAATGGAATAAAAGAAAAATAATGGATGGTTCAATCCGCAAAGCGCGGTTAATTTCAAAATATTGAAATAATAGTTGGTGCTTAGATACTGCTTGAGAGGAATTAGCGGTTTCGACATTAAGAACCCTGCTCTTAGATCTTAACCAGAATATTTTATGATTAAAAAAGTAAATTTCGAGTGAAACCGGAACCCTCCTTTATCCATCCTCAGAAGTCTCTAGTGAAAGGATCTCATTCTACTTGCTAGAATCAATCAAACCAGAAATAAATGGACAATTCTATTAGAACAAGAAGGAAAAAAGAAGAATCTTATTCCCATAATCCCATTTGCTTGGAAATTTCCCACATCAACTCACCAACAACAACACCTAAAGTCTTCGTTGCTCGCCGTTCTTTTCGCTGCGCTTTCGATACCTTTCGTCTTTGCGTGTGCTCTTTATTGTGTGCGCCACGTCTCAGCAGCCTTGAAGCCAAACTTTTTGAGAAATCAACCCTGTAAGCGTGTAAATTATAATACTAGTTTTATTCATTTCCTAATTATTTAAAATGTCGTTGGCTATTAGCTATGTTAAAATTGCAAAGTTGAGCCAAAAATGGTTTCAAGAAGACTTAATTGTTGACTCACTTGAAATCATGGGAGCATTTTGGGGAAGATAATTTTTTCTTTAGTGGAGACTTAAAGAACCATTGTCCGCTTCCTGAGAAACTTGTTGCCGGGATATCCAGGCTAGATTTAGAATCGTTTCCTATAAAGTCTCAATATGCCTTCTTGCATCTTTCAGCGAAAAAGTGACTTCCTTTTCTGGACTAAAGTATCATCCAATAGTAATACAGTTTAAGTTAAGAATATCATAGATTGAGTTCCTTAATTATAAATATTAGTTACTTGTAATGAATCTGACATTTGTTGGATTCGTTGAATATCTAATGCCTTGAGCTCTAATTTTCCCAATTTTTCGTTCATTGTTCGAAAGAGTATTCTGTCTCATGTTGATAGTCGTATTGTCGCTCAACGTTCGAAACAAAACCTAATTTCAAGTTTAATAATTACCCGAATAATTAATTAATCAATTCATAGCTAGCTGAAAGCCTCAGGAAAATTTTCTTTTTAAAATACGCTCTAGCGTTTTTTTCATCGAAACAGGTTAGGGAAATAATAGCTATTAATTTGGTGGATGACACTCGTAGCGATGTAAATAATGGACAATTGAAGTGGAATGCTAACGGTGTCGAATTTCCGTGTATCGTTATTTTTCGACAATGCAATTTCTTTAGCAATGGGATTCTCGACGACGCAGATTTTGTCCTCTTCCTCATTCTTCAATAAAATTAATGAAGACTTTCAAGCTTATGGTATTTTAAATCAGTGATTCCTTTATAAAATTACTCTCATGCATGAGATGCAAATTTCGTATATTTTCAATATATTTTATTTTCCTCTCGTTTTGTAGATTTGTGCAGATTCTTATACCTGGGAAATCACCTTTGCTCTGCTGGCACTGCTTGTGACTAATAAACCATTTTGATTTCCGTCATTCGAACCACATTTTTCCAATGCTAAAAACTATTGTAGTTGCTACTAGTATTTTCATTTATTGACTCCTAAAGATATTTGCTGTATGGAATTCAAAAATTTATTTAATACATATTTGAAATATGAACGAGTTTTTAACCTTTCTTTTTTTCCTCATCAAAACAAGCAATTTGAAAAATAGGAATTTGTGGCACATATATCGTCGCATTGTCGTAATTATCAACACCACTAAGAGATTTTAAAACAGCCAATCTAAATTATGATTATTTCAATACTGCTAAACTTATGAGCTATATAATTAATATGCAGATAACAAATACCTGCAAATAATTGCTTGTGTGCAAGGACATGGATTGAGCGAATGCTTCTTGGATGCGTTTAACATTGATTGTTGCTGAAAAGACACTGGCAAATTTTCGATATCGGTTGTGCTTTGCTGGTCATGTTCCAGCTCTGAAGATTCCGCAAATTTGAAATAAAATAGGGTTTGATGATAATCTGTATATGTCTGGATCGATATCAATTCAAAAGCGCGATAAATTGCTAATTTTAAGGCTGGAGCTGGCACAACGTAACTTATTAAAAAACTGATATTCCAGCTCTACATTCATATCTGTCGTTTCTGTAATAAATGATATATAGTGTAAAAATTAATGGAATAAGAATAGTGGTAATAAATTTTGCTTACCGCCGCTTGAGCTTTCAAACATTTCCTCAAAGAATGTGCTGTCAACAGGCTTATCACTGTTATCGTCTAGTTCAAGTGCGTCATTACTTATAATCATATCGGCGCCATCATTTTTACGCTTATTACTTCCAGCTCTAGCTCTTAATGGAGATGGAAGAAGAAAGCGACATTTTGAGGGTCTTTTACGAATATTCCGAAAAAATAAGACTGGAATACGCAGTTGGCATGACTCACTTTTATGAGACCTGATAAAGAGAAAAAATTTACCCAGATTAGGATATATCATCATAAAAATAATCTTAAGTTTGGATTTAAAAAATTTTAAAGCACTGAATAATCAAAAGTATTGTTTTATTTGAGGCAAAATGGAGATATCACTTCCTATCAAGCAAAAAATGAACTAAAGGATCGGTGGAATTTTTGTACTTCAGGTATCAGTTGAATAATTAGTTTCAGAAACTTTTAAAATTTTTTGAGAGGCAGGAAGTTTTCGTTATTCGTTAAAAGTTTTTACTATAATTTAAATCATATAGGGGCAATACTGAATCAACAAATAAATATAAGGACGGTATCAATGGAAACTTATTTTATAATTTAAAAAAAAAACCTAAATGAATTATCTGCTTTAAACTCATTTACTCTTGGATAGAATTTTTCGGACAAAGAATCTGATGTCGTTTGAGGCGATAAACTTGAACGACTTTTCAGTTTATCTGTAAAATTCCATATCTGAATATTTAAGGCCATCAAAATATAGAGGCTTGGATAGAACTAATTTTAAATTTTTATATTTTTTTGTCCCATAACAAAACAATCAAGGTAAATGTCGGTTAGTCTCTGAACCGTTTATTCAATTCAAAATCCCCTATAATGTGATACGTTTAATTTCGAGCATCAAAACAAAAATTCTCTATGCAGTCGTGAAACTTGATATAGAACTTTAAGATAGAATTAAGAAGAGTAGTTGAAGGACTGAACTGACACTAAAATTTACAAATTTAATCATGCTTTTAAGATTGAATCATAAGTATGTACCTGCTTCTGCCCCAGCAGCTTGTTGACCATCATTGCATTCAATCTTGCACTCATTTGACCTAAAAAAATTCTATCAAATATCAGATATAATTTTCACAGATATCAAGTGGTGATTATATCAAATGTAAAAACGAATGGTCACTTAAGAACGTATTTGCAAACTTTCCTTTTTTTTAGTTTTTATTCGTAAGGAAAACATCTTGAGATAATTAAAATTTCTAACCTTTGAGACAAACCTTTGAGATATTGGTGTCGAAATTTTGCTGCTCTTTCACGCTTTTGTAGAACAATTATTATTCTGAAAAAGAAAATGATTTCTTCAGAAATCGAATGTTTTCGTAAAATTCTATTATTATCTGTATTCAAAAAATCTAGTTGTTTGAACATATAAATGAAGGAAAAAGGTGGACTTCAGTTGGTTTTAAGCGAAAAAGATTAATTAAATAAGATTAATTAAATACTTCGAGAAAACCAAAGTTCACTTTTTGGAAGAAATTCTTAGTTCATGATTTGGTTGATGCACTTACCAAAATAGTTAATTCACAATTTTACAACTTCAGAAATATAGAAAATGAGAATAGTCTCCAGTAAATCTAAATTCAACAAAATTTAGATCAAAATAAAAATTACCTAATATAAACAAATAAGACGATAAAGCAGGGAATAACAAAACTGACAATGGATGAAAGCACTGAGAATTCAGGATTGTAAAAGCGACATTCATATGGATTACTTTCTGGTGGTCGAATATTGACACCTAAATCACTATACACCAAAAATATTTATTGAATATTTTGTAAATCGTTTTCATCGCTTGTTAAGTCTTTACATCTTCGTCATTCATAAACTTACAGGCTACGATTCTCCAAGAATTTTAGAAATTTTTTTTTTCGTTGTTATAGGCATCAACTGAACGGTAAATTACCGCGGTTCAGTTCAAGATCAACTTATCAACTATTAATTGCTGCATTCGAATGCATCATTCTTGGAACACTAAGCAGTGATGTCTTTATAGGAATGGATTCCAGTTAACTTAATTTAAGTACATGTGTTGTTCTTTAGCTATTAGACGATAGGGCAGTTTTCCACAAAACAAAATGATGAAAGACTTGATTAATCAAGGAAAATATATTCAATATAATTCAACAGCCTATTTAGTAGCAATTTTAAAAATGCTATTGCAAGTTTTTGCAAATTTCTGTAAACTTTTTCAAATATCATAGAGTTTAAGCTAATTTAGAACCATTTACCAACGACCATAGGAGCAGCTACTGCCAATGATATAAACCAAGTTATTATTGATATGTGTGAAATACGCTTAACATTTCTTGCATGAAGCGAATAGTGAATGGGTTGGGAAACAGCACGGTACCTAAAAATATTGCAGACTTCCTTGAAAAGCAATGATATCTCGACATATACTAAAATATTGGCCATAAAATTTAATTTATTGTAATTTCACGTATGAGAAAAACCGACAATAGCATAATAATAATGCTTTGTATATCTTATATCGTTTATAAATTATTTATTGCACATTTCGCTTTCATGAAAGTAGTAAATTATTGATAAAGTGTGACTCCACACATAGGAATAAGTCGAACTATTTATTTATATTATACCTGTCAAAACTTATAACAGTTAATAAGAGAATTGAAGCAGTACTGCATGCAACATCTGTAGCAGAGTAAATATCACACATCAAATTACCCAAAAACCAAGACCCACCTCGCATCTGCAAAAAATATTGCAATATTTATACTTTCTGAAAGCTTATTAATCATTAAGTCCTTTCCACTCAAGCTCAAATAGTGAAATGGCAAATGTCGAGTCAAATATAGAAAATATTTTATCATCTGTCATCTGTGTATGCAAAAAAAGATAGCAGTACCCCTTGGAACTTGTTCAATTCACGTCGGTAGAACTGTTTTATAATATTTCAATTCTTATCTTTCAGAAAAAAAGATTGATTTCCGATATTTCTTATTGGTTTTTTTCATTATTTATATCCTAGCCATAGTTTGGACTGGAAATATATTCATTTCTACTAATTCCTAGCGCCATTCGGGTTTCTACTTTAAGTCCAAGTTCCTTCCTATTAATATAATAGAAATTCAGATGGAAGTCATTAAGACCATTCGGATTTCATCAGACCCATGTATTTGATACAATTGGCATAAAATAATCAGAAAAAAGTAAGGAAGATATTTGCGGATAAAACTTTATGTCCACTGAGCTTTCAGTGGTAATTTTTACGATATCGTAAATAAAATTTTAAAAAATATAATAAGCTTGCAAACTTACATAAATGTAAACTGCATAGGGCATCACAAAAAGTCCAACAAATAAATCAGCAACTGCCAATTCCAGTATGAGGAAATTGATAGCTGAATGTAATGTTTTGAATTTAATTACGGCAATAATTACTAACAGGTTACCAAGTATGGTAACAAGAGGAATTATAAGTAATAATAAACCATGCAAGTGAATGCTTTCTTGAAGCTGATTAGAAGTTAAAGTATTATTAATTAGAATTGTTTCCATGGCTGAATTTTTAATTAATTGAGGACAAGATGTTTTCTGATTAGATGATGGATATCAATTAAGTATAATTGTCAACAGACCAACATTTAAGCCTGAAAGTATAAAAAATTTTAATTATGCTATAAGAAAATTATTTAAAGTTTTTTTCAAAAATGCGGATGCTTTTAAGCTATCAATAAGAAAATTATTATATCATTAAAATCTGAGCAATTCAAAATAATAGCAATAGCCACAAGACATAAAATTATATTAATGATTCGAAAATTGCTGTAAAGAAATTTTCTTAACCGCACCTTAAGAAAGATGAAAGAAATTAATAAAAATTATTATATTATTATTACGTTTAAGGTTTAAATCAGGCTGGCCTTTTTTTGTCTGACATTCGGTAAATTATTTTTTTGTTGGTTTGTTTAAAAAAATATATTCGATATGATCCTTTTATTACTTAATATATTCGTCTTGCGACTTACAGAGTGCTACTCGAATAGAAAATATGATTAAAATATTAAATGAATGAGTCTCTTAATCAACCAATGTAAAAATGAATTGAGAGTCAAAGTGTAGACATATTTTGACTAACTAAGTTAATCAATCCACATAAACGGTTGCTTCAATCGAATTATTAATAATGAAGTTTACCCATAATAATGAAGCATATCAAAGAACTAAACATACTAAACAAACAAACCTAAGAAAAATTTAATTTACTTGTTTTAAACTTATCTATATCAATTTATCATTTTTTCAAACTAAAGTCTATTTTATTTTTAACAAAACTGTGAAAATATCTCATTAAGGAAAAAGGAGTGAATAATTTAATGTGCCAATCGAAAAATTTGTGACTTTTATCACTATTTATTTATATTAAGTAAAGTTTCTACTTAGAAAAGTTTCTACCTAAATGAATGGTCGTTAAGCATTTAGCAGAAATTTTTTTAGATTAAAAAAAGACTTATGAAAAAAGGCTCACTAGGAAAATCTGTTGAAATTCAGAAAATTTAGAAGAGTAAGAAAGAAATTATAAAATCTTAAAATACTAATAATATTTGTTAATTGACAATAAATAATAGCAGTGATAATAATAACAATAATTATAATTATTATAATAAATAATATTATTATTAATAATAATGATAACACTAGTAATAATTCTGCAGGAACGTTTTACATAAAAAAGTTAATTAATTGAACACATCATATACGCAATAAATGAAAAATTCAAGTGTTCATAATGTGGTGCTTTCTTTGCTTCAAGAGCTTCTGATTGTTTCAGTTCTTCATTAATCTTCGTGTTGGCTATTATCATTCAGATAATGAATCTGAATCTGAATATGTCATTGTTAACTCAATTTTTTAACGCTTATTATTGACCCATCTAAGATAAGGTTCAACATTTTCCTCAATCGATCATCCTAACTAATAAAAGCGATAATAAATGATGGAAAAAATGTGTTAAAATATAATAAAATAAAAGAAACTTGTGGTGGTCAACGAACTAATTAATCACAAACAGATCTGTTAAAATGAAAGCTGTATCTTTTCAAGTTTCACACATCTCGAAATGGATGGCAAATTAAATTTATTCATTCCTTGCTTTATTTTTGCTTATATTTTTGAATAAATTCACTCTATGCCATGTATCAAAAATTTTAGATAAGAAAGCACAGTATAGTTTACAAAGATTCATTTAATTAGTCGTTAATGTAAAAGGTAAAAGACCAAAAATATAAAAGATTTATGGAGATGGGCCACGAATGGATTTTTTTTGAACATAAATTACCACATAGTTTTGTTTTATATATATATATATATATATATATGGAAGGCTGAGCTAAAAGACAGCACTTAAGCATTGATCATAAGCACAAAAATAGGTATTACCTGATCCCTTGTAGCAGGGATCTACCACTCAAGGTGGAGACTATGCAGAAAGGCCTTAGAAAACTGTTCATCACATGGTGGATATAAGATAAAGGCAGGAATAGCGTGTTAAATGGCAAATAGCTGGCATTATCTACAGGAATATATTTGCACATATGAGTTAAACTCACCCCACAAATGAGAGATTCCGGAGGAAATCGTGGGAAGTAACAAGGCCAAAATCATGTGGGACTTTCATTTCTCGAGATAAACGATCAAGTAGTTGAGAAGAACCAGAAACAGCGGTGATGATAATATCAAGTGACAGAAACATCAAGAAGAAAGAATAGAGGAAGAATAAAAATTGAAAAAAATAGAAATATGGAAAATAGAAGCAAAAATGGTCCCAACTCTGGTAGAAGCACTGGGAACTTAAACTAGAAAAACGGTTCCAGCAGGTTCCAGGGAAAGTATCAGAGACCTTCGCGGAAGAGCTGGAATTAGCTAAGATACCCATAGCCCATATCATCCACAAGGGATGAGAAGAGAGTGTATATATATATATAATCAATTCCAGAAATATATGATAAATAAACGAAAAGGAAAAGATTTTAGCAATAAAAGGGAAAAATGAGCCTTTAAATTGATATTTACTTATGTAATTGAAACTATGATTTCAGGTGAAAAAAATATGAAGATGAATAAAGGTTGCGTTAAGTAGAAAAATTGTGCAAATATACTTTCTGTGAGCTTATTGTGATGAATAAAAAATGGAAATGAAGTTCATTAAATAATCTCGATAAATCAATCAAAAAAAATGAATAAAAATTGGCTAGAACTAGACGATAAGCTATAACAAATAATCTAAGAAAAATTACCGAGAAAAATGACAAAATTCTTTGAAATAATCAAACTTAGTTCTAAGCCCTTAACAAAGATTCATCCTTATTTTGCAAAGTTTTATAAAAACCATAAAATAAAATTTATTAAAAAAGAAAATAATGAAAAATTGATTTTATGTAGTTTTTTTAAGTAATAAAAGTATTTAGTACTCAGGGATAATTCTAGATGAGAATTATTTCCGTATTTCATTTATTCCGAAAATTTTTGGTATAATAAAATTTGCAGTTTATTAATGCAATAAATAAAGTGCATAAAGGCTTTATTAAGGATCGCTAAATAAGTGTAAAATTTTCTCATACAAGCAATGCTTGCAAACAAGGAAATTTTGAAAATTTTGAAAATGCAAAAAAAAATGTGTCGAAAATAAAGATTTGCTTTAGATTTAACATTGAATTAAATTTTTCGCGCATACAATAAGCGAACTTTCTTTAAATTCATTTTTTAAACTGCTGTATTTTATATATATAAATTGTTTTTGAAACCAAATTTAGATTCCAACTTCTGGTGATTAAGCGAAGTGATAAATTTAAAAGTTAAACTGATAAATTTAAAACTTTTTTATTATATCAATAATCAAATTTTTTTCTTGTGAACGGATTATTTTAAAAAATGATTTTAAAATTTTAAATGAAATAGAGAAAAATCAAATGAAGAAATCTCTGAGTTCTATGCCTAGAAGATAATTGAAGATAAAAATATAAGTGGTTAATGCTGATCATTTCTGGTTAAATTAGTTTTTTAAATTACAGTTAGATATTTTTGCTAGAGAGCCGTTTGCCGATGGTGAGTCATCAGAACACCCGGATTTTTAAATGATTCTTTTTGCAAAAAGGATCCGAATTTGCTTGCCTCTTATTACGATGATCTGAATCACGGTCTACTCGGTCATTCTTCCCTTTAGTAACTAAATAATTTCTTATAATAAAAAAGATTCATTTTTGTTTTGCATATTTCTGTTAAAAGTATAAAATAATAAATAATAATAAGTATAAAAATATAAAATAATAAAATTTACTAAAAAATAAAACGAGAAAAAATTGATTTTACCTGGTTATTTCAATAAAAATTAATGGCTAGATCATAAAGAAATGATTTAAAGATCATTGCCTAGAAATCACCTTTTTCTCGAATGATAATGAAGTTAAGAAAGTTAATTTGATTCAGAAAATGTAAATTTAATTAAAATACATAATCTTAAGTTCTTGACATTTTCTCGTATATAAACAAGCCAAGTGGCTTTTTGTTTCGATTAAAGTTAAGCAGCATGGATCTGATTCCTGTTTGCTGGTTTGAAAATCATCAAAAGTAAAATGCTAAGGATTCACTTATACTTCTGTCGCTCTGACTCACCACAATGAATGGAGATAGCTAAACTAGAAATGGTGGATATTATTAAGTTAAAAGAAGCAAAAAATTATGCATTGAGAAAAACTGCCAACCACAGTTAATCTATTCATATTTATAATGACAGTCAAAAATTGAAGAAAAATCATTCAAAAAATTGGAAAAGAGTGAAATTTTGAAATAAACGGTTGCTAATTAATAAAAAAAAGCATAGAGTACTGCGGATCCATAGAATTCGAGTTCGCCATCTGCTACCACTGAAGTTTTAAAATAAGTTTTGCTTTACCATTGAAAAATAAATAAACTGTATAAGAATGGATTCAACTGAATAAATAAGAGAAATCCATCAACAATGATATATTTTACTTTTGCATGAAGCCATCTTAAATATTATTCGACACAGTTTTAGACGAATTTCCTTGTCGTTTTAACAGGTTTTGAACGATAATTCTATAAATTTGATTAGTCTAGCCAGCATTAATATTTGAATTCTTCGCTATTGCAAACACCGATGCTATTTATTTAAAATAGATAATATAGATAGAATGGCTTTCTTTCAACAATCAGATAAGATTTTTTTTTCTGCTTGCTGAAATCAAAAACTAAATTGATGTAGCTATTCTTCAAATAGATAAGAATGTAATGAAAAGGAGTGGAAAATTTGCTGAACTGAACTGGTTGATTAGGTTCTTTTTATTAAATCCAGTACTAGCTATACCTTTTTTAGCCTTTTTTACTTTACCTTTGATGTACTTTTTTTATACGTTGACCAGTCTTCAATAAAGATTTAAAGTTTAGAGAAATTTAAAACAATATTAAATAAAAGAATAAAAATCTGCAAAATTAAAATGATAAATTTTTTTTATGAATGAAATGTTTCTTGGATTCTTCTT